ACACAAGGTGTGTGTGTGTGTGTGTGTGTGTGTGTGTGTGTGCGTGTGTGTGTGTGTGTATGTGTGTGTGTGTGTGTGTGTTTGTGTGTGTGTGTATATGTGTGTGTGTGTGTGTATTTGTGCTGGTTTTTAAATGTGTGTGAGCCCTTGTTCCACGGAGTGTGTGCGTGTGAGCTGGTTGTATAGAGTATGTGCTTTTGTGATGGGTGTAAAGATTGTGTGTGTGTATGTGTCGGTTGTTCAGAGTGTGTGTGTATGCTGCTTGTACGTACTGTGTGTGTGTGCTGGTTTTAGAGTGAGATCGGTGTGCATGAGTGTGTGTGTGGGTTGTATAGTGTGTGTGTGTGTGCTGGTTGAAAAATGTGTGTGTGGCAAGTTGCACAGTGTGTGTCTGTGGGTGCTGATTGGATAAAGTGTGTGTGTGTGAGCATGCGTGTGAGTGTATGTATGGATGTGTGTGTGTGTATATGTATGTGTGTGTGTGTGTGTGTGCGGGTTGTACAGAGTGTGTTTGTGTGTGCCCTGGTTGTACAGAGTGTATATGTGTGTGTTCATGCTGGTAATACAGAGTGGACATGTGTGTGAGTGTGTGCCGGTTCAGTAAATTGAGTGTGTGTGTGCTGGTTGTACGAAGTGTGTGCATGCGTTGGGTGAATAGTGTGTAACTGTAGGTGTGCTAGTTGGCCTGAATGGGTGGGTGTGGGACTAGTGGATGTACAAAGTGTGTGCGTGTGCTGGTTAAACAGAGTGTATGTGAGTATGTTGGTTGTACAGAGTGTGTGGGTGTGTGCTAGTTGTACAACATTTGTGTGCGAGCCACTTGGGCAGACTATGTTTGTGCAGGATGTACAGTGTGTATGTATGTGTGTGTGTTTGGGGGGGGGCTGAGTGTGTGTGGGTGTGTATGTGTATGTGCTATTCGTACATAATTTTCGTTTGAGATGGCATGTAAAGAGTGTGTGTATTTTCGTTGTTGTAGAGTCCGTAGCCCAACTTCTAGTACAGAGTTTGTATGCTAGTTGTACACACAATGTGTCTCTGTGTGTGTGTATGTGTGTGTGTGTGTGCTGGTTTTACAATGTTTGTGAGCCTTAGTTTCACAGAGTGTGTTCATGTGAGCCGATTCTATAGAGTGTGTGCTTTTGTGATGGCTGTAAGGATTGTGTATGTGTTTGTGTCGGTTATTTAGAGTGTGTGTGTATGCTACTTGTACATACTGTGTGTGTGCTGGTTTTAGAGTGAGATCAGTGTGCATGTGCGTGTGTGTGTGGGCTGTATAGAGTGTGTGTGTGTGTGCTGGTTGAATAATGTGTGTGTGGCAAGTTGCACGGTGTGTGTTTGTGGGTGCTGATTGTATAAAGTTTGTGGGTGTGTGCATGTGTGTGAGTGTGTGTATGTGTGTGGATATGTGAGTGTATATGTGTGTGTGTTTGTGTGTGTGTTTGTGTGTGTGTGTGTGTGGAAAGAAGTATGTGTGTGTGTGCGGGTTGTATAGAGTGTGTTTGGGTGTGCGCTGGTTGTACAGAGTGTATATGTGTGTGTATGTCGGCTGGTTATACAGAGTCTACGTGTATGTGTGTGCTGGTTCAGTAAAGTGAGTGTGTGTATGCTGGTTGTACGAAGTGTGTGCATGCGCTGGGTGAATAGTGTGTAACTGTAGGTGTGCTGGTTGGCCAGAGTGGGTGGGTGTGGGACTAGTGGATGTACAAAGTGTGTGCATGTGCTGGTTAAACAGAGTGTATGTCAGTATGCTGTTTGTACAGAGTGTGTGGGTGTGTGCTAGTTGTACACATAGATTGTGTGTGTGTATGTGTCGGTTGTTCAGAGTGTGTGTGTATGCTGCTTGTACGTACTGTGCGTGTGTGCTGGTTTTAGAGTGAGATCGGCGTGCATGTCTGTATGTGTGTGTGGGTTGTATAGTGTGTGTGTGTGTGCTGGATGAATAATGTGTGTGTGGCAAGTTGCACAATGTGTGTCTGTTGGTGCTGATTGTATAAAGTTTGTGTATGTGTGCATATGTATGTGTATATGTGTGTTGATGTGTGTGTGTGTATGTGTGTATGTGTGTATATGTGTGTATCTGTATGTGTGTGTGTGTGTGTGTGCTGCTTGTACAGAGTGCGTGTCTGCCATGGTTGTACAAAATGCGTGCATGCTTAACCATGATTGATGCCATGCACATGTGTCATTCCATTCCTTAAAAGGGGTTGTGCATCTCTTCCTTCCAGGTCCATTCGGCTCTTGCCATTCCAGCAAACGGAGAGAGGGAGGCGCACTACGTTCGCGCAACACCGAGCTTCCATGGGTCACCCGCATTTTCACGTGTTGCCATACTTCAGACCGTTACAGACCCATTTGGGAAGCAGGAGAACATCACAACATATGCAGACCTGCTCATGCTTTTCCACATAAGCACGCAACGAGAGGATGGTGAGCCCACAGCGCTGGCGTACGTGCGTTTGTATGAGACGGGTGAGGTGGACGAGAAGACTTCTTGTGTGAAGCTCAAACTGAGGGATGTGCATCTCCGACACTATGTAATTGACGCACGGTCCATTTTGCGCTCCGTCCATATTGTGCGATCATACCGGGATCGGTCAACGTTCATTCTCAATCGCTATGTTGCATCGTAGACAATGATGCTATGCTATAATTGCTCTCGGTTGTAGATTGTGAATGATGAAACTGACTAACGACCCTACAAAAGGCGTTGATTAGGTGAATTCTAATTAATATGGAGTGGTATTAAAACAAATACAAAGCTTTGCACACTCAAGTTAAGATATTTTTTTACCAATCAAGAGCCCGATATATTACGAATGGAGTAGATAAATACTTAAACACAATAACTCATGTGGCACTTTATAAAAAATTCATACATATGGAACGTAACAATTCAGCAAAGAGTGTCTACACACTATGTTCTAACATTACAGTTTTTTCCAAGCCAACACAGCAGATTGGTTCGATACCTACAGCCAATGGGTCACCAGCGCCTGGTTCCTAGCCTCCCTCACAGCTCCCGAAGCTGAAATGTGCAGCGGAACCTGAAAACCAAGCCTGTCAGCCAATGGGGGGAGTTGCGAAGCTGACATCTAAGCTGCCCAAAGCACATTCGAGAATTCCGAAGCTGCCTGGGCTGATTTCGTTTCGACGCGACGCGTCGAAAATATGTTTTCCCACTCGGTTCATTTTGTTACTCCAGTCATACTCCTCAACACCATACTTTTTTAGCCCCCCCATTTTTGGGATGGGTGGGGAAAGGAAGAGGTATGAGGAAGGGAGCGGACAGTGCCTGGGTGAAGAGTGCACCTGTGCTGTGGGGGGTGGATTCAGTGAAGTGAGGCAGACGATGGTTTCAGAGAGGCAGGTGCGAAGCTGGGGGAAAGGGGGGGAGGGAACTGATGAAACCGGGCAGTGAATAATGAGAAGGATGTGGGAGACAGCGCTGGGAACCTATGAGCCAGAATTCGGTAAAAGACCAGCTTGTGGGAGCTGCGGTGGAAAATTGGGGGGGTTAAAGGGGGGAATGAGTTGATAATAAGATTCTTAGATGGGTCCCATCTAAATCTCACGTCCCACACAATCCCAACTCACGGGTAAACATTAACGTCCACACACATACGCACATACATGTAAAAGCGACATCACAAAAATGCGTGTGTCTGAAAATCATATGACATCCGCAGCGGCCTATCGTACGTTTGACAATCGTTAGAAAAACGTACAGGGAAACTCTAAAAAACGTTTGCCTTCGGCGGAATGTTTTCCAGGCACATTCTGAATGTTTGCTCCTAACTCTTTCTTGCTTGTGGGCAGGATTCGGGTTCTGGGCCTAACAGATAGTCGAGCATGTCTCTTCGCGTGGGAGCAGATAGCGAGAAATTTGATTCTCTCCAAGAATTCCTCGTTTAGGCTTTTGTGTACCATTTGTTACATTCATGACATTTGCACTTATCTTTATTTGAATATGATGACGTAATTTTCTCCTATGAAAATAGTGTTTCCAAGAGTCATGTTTAACCATTTGAAGGAAATTTTTAACCTATTATATTCAAACAAGGCCTAAAAAGAACATAGTCAGGGAACAATTTCATGTTTACAAAAGTCACAATGCGTCAAAGTTCTCTACGTTTGCTAGACCTCACCAAACGAATCTATTAAGAAGGTTCAATTCATCGTCCTCACATGAGGGAACAATCTGTACGAGACTGAGAATGCAGTCCACATCAATCACTGCAAAATCATCCTCGCCCTCTGTGGGTAGAAGGCGCTCGCATCCCGTTGACGGGCATAGTCGCTTGTCTTCGGTGTAATACTCCACGTATGCTCCGCGCCTCAGCTCCCCATCTTTGTTGTAGTGAAACAGGACAAGACAACGGCCGAACCAGGGGGACCCCTTCTCTGCAGGGTTGATTGCAACAGATGAGAAGTTCTTCTTGCCCGGGCTAGCCTTGACAAACTGCCCCCTTGACGTCCATTCCATCTTGTCGTGGGGCGGAATCGCAAGTGCCGTGTGCACCTGAAACCACGAGCATGAACCAAGAAAATGTGAAAGCAGCCAAAGAGGCGGTGGAGAGCATAGCGAAAGGGGGAAATTGGCCAAGGGCTGGAGTGGGTGGAAAAGCATTTTGGAGAGGAGGAATGGGGGCTGGAGTGGGTGGAAAGCATTTTGGAGAGGGGGAAGGGGGGCTGGAGTGGGTGGAAAACATGCAGGAGAGGGGGAAAGGGGGCTGGAGTGGGTGGAAAAGCATTTTGGAGAGGGGGAAGGGGGGCTGGAGTGGGTGGAAAGCATTTCGGAGAGGGGGAAGGGGGGCTGGAGTGGGTGGAAAGCATTTTGGAGAGAGGGAAGGGGGGCTGGAGTGGGTGGAAAAGCATCTTGGAGAGGGGGAAAGGGGGGCTGGAGGGGGTGGAAAGCATTTTCGAGAGGGGGAAGGGGGGCTGGAGTGGGTGGTAAGCATGCAGGAGAGGGGGAAGGGGGGCTGGAGTGGGTGGAAAGCATGCAGGAGAGGGGAAGGGGGGCTGGAGTGAGTGGAAAGCATGCAGGAGAGGGGGAAGGGGGGCTGGAGTGGGTGGAGAGCACGCAGGAGAGTGGGAAGCGGGGCTGGAGTGAGTGGAAAGCATGCATGAGAGGGGGAAGCGGGGCTGGAGTGGGTGGAAAGCATGCAGGAGAGGAGGAAGGGGGGCTGGAGTGGGTGGAAAGCATGCAGGAGAGGGGGAAGCGAGGCTGGAGTGGGTGGAAAGCATGCAGGAGAGGGGGAAGCGGGGCTGGAGTGAGTGGAAAGCATGCAGAAGAGGGGGAAGGGGGGCTGGAGTGAGTGGAAAGCATGCAGGAGAGGGGGAAGGGGGGCTGGAGTGAGTGGAAAGCATGCAGGAGAGGGGGAAGGGGGGCTGGAGTGAGTGGAAAGCATGCATGAGGGGGGGAAGCGGGGCTGGAGTGGGTGGAAAGCATGCAGGAGAGGGGGAAGGGGGGCTGGAGTGGGTGAAAAGCATGCAGGAGAGGGGGAAGCGAGGCTGGAGTGGGTGGAAAGCATGCAGGAGAGGGGGAAGGGGGGCTGGAGTGAGTGGAAAGCATGCAGGAGAGGGGGAAGGGGGGCTGGAGTGAGTGGAAAGCATGCAGGAGAGGGGGAAGGGGGGCTGGAGTGAGTGGAAAGCATGCATGAGGGGGGGAAGTGGGGCTGGAGTGGGTGGAAAGCATGCAGGAGAGGGGGAAGGGGGGCTGGAGTGGGTGAAAAGCATGCAGGAGAGGGGGAAGCGGGGCTGGAGTGAGTGGAAAGCATGCAGGAGAGGGGGAAGGGGTCTGGAGTGAGTGGAAAGCATGCAGGAGAGGGGGAAGGGGGGCTGGAGTGAGTGGAAAGCATGCAGGAGAGGGGGAAGGGGGGCTGGAGTGGGTGGAAAGCATGCAGGAGAGGGGGAAGCGGGGCTGGAGTGAGTGGAAAGCATGCAGGAGAGGGGGAAGGGGGGCTGGAGTGAGTGGAAAGCATGCAGGAGAGGGGGAAGGGGGGCTGGAGTGAGTGGAAAGTATGCATGAGAGGGGGAAGGGGGGCTGGAGTGGGTGGAAAGCATGCAGGAGAGGGGGAAGCGGGGCTGGAGTGAGTGGAAAGCATGCAGGAGAGGGGAAAGGGGGGCTGGAGTGGGTGGAAAGCATGAAGGAGAGGGGGAAGCGGGGCTGGATTGAGTGGAAAGCATGCAGGAGAAGGGGAAGGGGGGCTGGAGTGGGTGGATTCGGCGGCAGTGAGAAAAAAATGGCATATCCATACGACCGGGAATGCACCTGCAAAACTTGCGTGTTGATGCCTGCCCGTCTGAGTCGCAGAACCATCGCACTCATGGCGGGTTCACCAACAGTCAAGACGTAGCTCCGAAACACTGAGTCGGCGATGTCCCCCAGGACCATCTTCTTGTGGGTCTTAGTAAGCACCCTCCGGCCAGCCAGGTATGCCTGTCACCGTGGAGAGGAGAGGGTTGGTATAGGGAGGGAGAGGGTTGTATGGTGAGTCCTTTTGGAGGGAGGAGGAGGGGGGGGGATAGGGGATGGATGCGAGGTGTAGGCAAAGAAGGGAAAGGCTACGAAGGGGGAATGGGTGTGGGGGAAAGGGGGAGAGGTTGTGGGGACGAAAAAGGAGATGGGGGGGTAGGAATCGATTACTTTGGTTATGTTGGTCCTAAATGTGATTGCCAACTCATGCAGAGAGCATGGAAACAGAAATGCGGGCAAAGAGACGAGCGAACAGAGCGTGGCACAGAGCAGGGCAGACACAGAAGTGAACAAATCAGGGAAACGGTGAAGGGAACAGAGCGGGGCACAGAGCAGGGCAGAGACAGAAGTGAACAAATCAAGTATACAGTGAAGGGAATAGAGCGGGGCACAGAGCAGGGCAGACACAGAAGTGACAAATCTGGGAAACAGTGAAGGGAACAGAGCGGGGCACATAGCAGGGCAGACACAGAAGTGAACAAATCAGGGAAACAGTGAAGGGAACAGAGCGTGGCACATAGCAGGGCAGACACAGAAGTGAACAAATCAGGGAAACAGTGAAGGGAACAGAGCAGGGCACAGAGCAGGGCAGACACAGAAGTGAACAAATCAGGGAAACGGTGAAGGGAACAGAGCAGGGCACAGAGCAGGGCAGACACAGAACGGAACATGGCAGGGTAACAGTGCAGGGAACAGAGCAGGGAAACAGAACAGGGCACCGAGTAGGGGAGACACAGCATGGAACATAGCAGGGTAACAGAGCGGATAACAAAGAAGGGGAAATGACGAGGGGAACAGAGCAGTGTGAGAGAGCAAGAGAGCCGAGCAGGGAAAAAGAGCAGGGGGGGAGAGCATGAGACCCGAGCAGCAATAAAGAGCAGGAAAGAGCATGAGAACCGAGCAGGGAAACATGGCAGGGGAGAGAGCATGAGAACCGAGCAGGGAAACAGGGCAGGGGAGAGAGCATGAGAACCGAGCTCGGGCAAACTGAACATGGCACAGAGCAGGGCAGACACAGAAGGGAGCATAGCAGGGAAACTGAAGGGAATACATCACGGAGTACGATGGAGCCTGGGGAGGGAAATCATCTCTTGACGGTCGTTTGAATATCTCTTTGCTTTAATCAACTTACTTTGCCCTCACATACTAGCGCAAGGTGGTTCACAACACTTTAATTAACGCTTCCGCTACTACACCAACTCTACCCAGAGTTCACCTCTGCAAAGATCCCAAGGGCTTTTCAGCCCAACAGTTTGTGTCTTGCACTGGTAATGTTGCACCACAAATGACATACCAGTAGCTACCTTGTTGCGACACCAATATATTATTTACCTATACCATATTTACACATCAATCAAGGTAACAGGGTCACTGCTCTCCTTAAACAATTCGACAGTTGGTCCGTTTAGGATGTGTCTGGTTATGCACTGTCGGTGCTCATACTTGTGAGTAAACGCACGGTATTGGACAGCTCAACATTCCTTTGGTAGTAATGATTTATATGTTCTTTCAACACTGTATTGCAGCCTTGCAAATAAATGTGTCATTTTGTGCCCCCCGTGCGCCATACCACTTACCTCAGTTCATTGCCACGAACGTTGTTCTCTTCGACTTGCGACCCAATCGCCACCACTCACAATTAACTCCCGACCATGCGTTCTTATCGCAGGTGTTCCATAACGGCTTCGTATCAGACTGTCGGATCGCTGTACGAATTGCGCCAATGGTGCGTCCCCGTTTCTCCGAAGTGGCGATTTTACTCTTGGCGTGACGCCTGCGCCAAGCTTCGTGCGGCACGCGTGGAAGACTAGGAAAATTAGCCACATAAAGTATGTACAGGCAGAATAGATATCTTTCGTGAGCCCTAATACACTAGCGCACGTTTAAGCACTAGCAACATTTTGTATCCCTCCCTGCCGCTAATGGACGGATAAACGCCCGCTCCCACTGAATCATGCCCCATTGGAGCCGCAAATTTTTTTTTTATGCACGTTAACCACCGTGTGATTGGTTGTTGGGGGGAAACGAGGGACCTGGATGTCGCAAGGTGGAACAGAGCAGGAAACACTCAAACCCTCGTCACCTCCGTGCTCCTTTTGCGTGCCTGCTTGTGGGACGGTCATCTGCTCCAGGCCCCTGTCTGATCCTCGTCCCTTCTATGCTCAACAATTTTTTAGTGCGCGAAGCGTAGCTGTCAGGTTGCAACGTCATAACTAACCCACACCTCAGACTACTGCGTGAATGGAAACCTAGACATTGCAATGGATAGTAAGACGCCAGGCTCCATCTGGATTTCATGGTCTTCTGGTCTCTCGGGTGGCAGCCCAGGTGGCAGATCGTCCGGGAAAATGTCAGGGTACTGTCGAATCAGCTCCGCTAAATCCGGAGGTACAGCTGCACACAGCTTCTCAATGTCCTTTCCGTCGGAGTTGACTGCCAACTCGCGTAAGCAGACCGCGAACAGCTGCGCGCCCTTATTGAAGCGGCGAGCTATGGTGATGGCTTTGACGCACGAGGCTTGGATGTAATCAGGTGTCCATGCAGGCAGCCGAATTAGCCCCTCGTGCTTGCTGATGCTGCACGATCCCGTTGTCCAGTCGATGACGGGGTTGTGTCGTCGCAGTCAATCGCGTCCCAACAACACGTCGCAGCCGTCCAATGTTGTCGCGAGAAACTTCATGCTGAAGCCGAAATCGTCGCCGCATTCGATCCTGACCGTCCGTGTTTCTTCCGTTATCGCCAGAGGCGTCCCATCCACGAGGCGTGCATCGATTTCGGGTAGATGTTATATGATGCTATCATTTGCATTCACGTCTGTCTACCTCCCATCATATGTTCGTGCGTTGCATGCGTGGTGTGAGCGTGTGCAAGAATTTGTGTTTTGTGCGGTTTGGTTTTTCTGAGTGTGTGTGAATGTTATTTGGCTTGAGCAGATATCTGAAGTGACTCCTCTGCTCAAGAGCTTTCCGACGAACCAAGTATCGCTTCAATCGGAGCACGAACAAGAAAGTTACGAACGTTTGAAGTTTGTATGCTTTTGATATTTGGTTGTGGTGACTATGGGGGTTGTGGGGTTGACTCAATATGGGGTAGAGAAAATTGGGGGTTGGGAAATTCGTCTGTTCTACTGTAGTTGCTGCCAAGTGGTTGGGAGAAACCAAACCAGATTGGCAAGTGTGGCCAACTTGGGTTAAGGTGGATGGCATGGGTTGGGAAAGTGACAAAAGTGAAAGTGGGGTTGCCTATGGGGAAGGGAATTGTGTGGCATGGGGTTTCCTTGGTTGGGAACTCTCTTGGGACCTTCCCTCTCGTCCTCTTCATCCCATCCCACCTAGTTTAGTGCTACTCTAACTTCCTTGTGTGGGAATTCTGAACTTCTGTGAGACTCTTGTGATTAAGTTAAGATTATATGGTAGCATACCCTCTAGTGCGCCGAAATTGATAACTCAATAAATACTTCACCTTATCGTACGATTCAAAGTGGGAATTGTAGCCACGCACTAGAGCTACATCATATCTGAGTTTGGTGAAGTTTTAATGGTGCGCCTTTTGTCGACGGCGTTTCTTGTGAAGTCGACGTTTCTGTCCAGAATTCTAAGACAACGATTTTGAGAATTTTAGGCACCTAATCTTCGTAGACTCCGTCCTTAGTCTCTAACAAGTGGTATCAGAGCTGAGTAAGGACCTTGTGGGGAGTCTACTGAAGTGTGAAGACCCTCCTAGACCCACCATGGCCTGTGGGCGTGCCTAAGTGGAGTTCTGGAAGTTGGATGTGACTTCCGCTAAGGGGAAACTCTGCCCAAATTTCGTTGGCGCCGACACTTGTGAAAATATTGTGGGACTTCGGTGTGGACAGCAAAGGGGGAGCTGAAATTGTGATTGGGAGCAGAGAAGATGAGTCAAGGAAGTGGAGATGCAGTTGAGAAGAGGAGTGAACCGCCACCATCCAAGATTGAAGCTTTGGATGGCTCCAACTATGAGGAATGGAGCGGGCGGATGCGGAGCGCCTTCAAGCGCTACAAGCTGCTGAAAATTGCAATGGGAGAGGAGAAGATGCCGGGGGAAGGAGATGCCCGCGATCGGTGGATTGAGAAGAGCGCGGTGCTGTACGACCTCATCCTCCAATCGGTCAACAACGATATGTTCCAGCACATCAAGGATTTGGTGGAGTTGGATGATTCCGGACCGAAGGCATGGAAGCTGCTACGCGACGTGATTCAGCCCAACACGCTGCCAGTGGTGATTGTGTTGGAGAAGGAGTTGGCTGCCCTTTCCATGAAACCGGGAGATGATGTGAAACCGGTCCTTGACAAGATCAAGGACACCTATGCGAGGATGGCAGCGGCGGGCAGCGAAGTGTCGCAGATGCAACAGTGCACCAAGATCATCTCGGTGCTCGACAACTCTTGGGACAACCTCATCCCCACCCTCAACGTTCAGCAGGACAAGTGGACGCCTGAGTGGCTACGGCAGCAGATCCTGCAGGAGGACTTCCGCAGGTGCCACACTGAAGGTGGTGCTGCCAACAAAACTGCT